TGCCCTTATAATCACTTTTGTCGTTTTGTGTGTGTTGCCATAGCAACAAAAAACAACTGATTTTTGGATAGCTTTGCGCCAAATGTATCTCCTCCTACAAATTTAGGATAAAACACTTCAGACATAGCTCATTCTACTCAGCTTGAGTGTGAGCACAAAGTTACTATTTGAATTTTTGATATCTTTTTTCATTACGGCGAAATTTGACCCCAAAGTTGGGGTAACTTTTCACCAGCAACGGCTATTAACTCCTCTGTGATTTTTTCGGCTCGGCTGATTTTGTTCATACCTCAGAGGTAGGTCGTACCGTCACTAATTGGAAAAAATCCAAGCCCACCACTGCCATTGCAACATCCAAAAACTGATTTTTGATACTTTCTTCCCAAATGTATTACCTCCTACCAATTTTGTAATAGAAGTGTTCAAATGATCATGTTTTTTATTTTGGCTACGTTGCGCACTGGTAAGAGATCACCGGCGCCGACATTGTTACACTGTATCGACGTAATTCAAACGCAACTTTGAACTTACTTTGAACTTTGAATGAACTGTAAATGCTGCCTTCAATCTAAAAAATACTATCGCAAAACGGTTGGAAATAATAAATGCAACAGCAGAATACGTCCTAGTAATAAACTAAATGACTTCTAAAGACTGAATGGTTTTTGCGAACTTCGTACACGGGCCCATTTAGTTATAAACCGACGTTAGCTTCACGTTTATGTCACACCATGGAAACAGCCAAAAACATGTTGCTTGTTTTTGAGCGGAGCGGATCGCCAACCAGCCTACCGGCTTGTCTATATAACGCCCGCCCGCCATATAGATACTTCCATAATAATAACATTTTTATTGAAATCGTATTCTAAAAATGGACATAGATCAAAAGTACAATAAAACATGGTTTGTCATTCAAAAACAAATACAAGAAAAAACATACACTAGAAAAAAAAAATTGCCCGAAAATGGGTTAAAAATTCAATTTATAAAGTAAATATATGGATTAATTAATTAGATATATGTGAGGCATATGTTTATGGAAAATACATCATGTTTAAGGTATAGTACTAGACGCAGCGCCCCTGCTTAGATTTAAATGTTTAATTTATGCAATGCACTTTGATATATACTAGGAATTCGATGTCAGTGGTCGGTTTTCGAACCTTGTAACGTCCAATATAACCCATTCATGCATTTCTCTTTACTTATGGCTTGGTTTATAGGATATGAGATTAAAGTTCCGGCAATTCCGAATATCCAACAAATTGACTAAAAATTAATTATTTCACAACCAAAACTTCACGGCAGGGGTCGTAAAAAATAGTTACTAGTATATCAATGGTCACTGTGTTTGCGGTAACCGTTAAGTTACCATGAATTGAATAGCACATACTGATCACGCGCGCAACATCAGTAATATATAGGATTTCGCTCCCGAAATTATTTATTTATTAAAACAAAATTAAGTTATATTTGAGGATTTGTTGTTGAAATGAATTCACTTGCAATTAGAGGTTTAAATTGTCATGTGACAATGTAAAGCTATGACGACTTAACAACTCTGGTAGTAGTAATTTATAATTCTTGCTAGGTGTTGTTGACGGAATAATAATAAAAGATTTGTTAAAATAAGGAAAATGCTATATTATGAGTCTACTGTGTTGTGTTTTTGAGGGACTGTGTTTAATTGGTGTACGGCGGTGTGCCCTCCTATTTACTATAAAATCATCTTTTGTTTATTATCCCGAGATTTCGATTTATCACTTCGAGATTTCGATTTATCACTTCGAGATTTCGGCTTATTATATATACATTTTTATTTCCTTTACGAAATTTCTCTAACAGACCTTCATGAAAATGTGTGTGCACATAACAAAAAAAATGTTTGGCATGAATGCAGATATTTATATTAATTTCTAAGCAATGTGTTGCCACAAGCTCACGTCACTTTGGTACACATTTAATTAAAGTTGCATTTCCACAGAACACAGTCATCCTCCTGATTATTGGGATCACCATGAAAAAATGATCTGTTGGTTTGGTAACAAATTCTTAATTTGGTTTTCTAGAGGGAGTGCAATTTTCAAGCGTTATATATTCAACACGGAAGAGAAAATGAAAGTTCTAAAATATTAATGAACAAATTTCGCGATGCCTCGGAATTTAGGAGTAAATAAATAAGTGGTAACATTCAAAACAAATTAAAAAAGGATAGCCACTGTTATTAAAATCAGGCGATTGGGGTTACCAACAAACCGAGTCACCTGACAAAGATTCACTTTTTTCTTTTTACTTCGTTTGACCCATGACTTGACACGAAAATGACGTCGACGACTACATTTGGTTACTGCGCAATCTATGTGCGCATACCTCCCAGCTCCATTTCCTGATGGGAAAACATTTCATTGTCGTACACAGAAAACGCCCGGTTTTTGACTAAAAATCGTTTAACGCGAGCCTCCTTTGCAAAATTTTGACATTGCAGCGTACGCAGAGAATATTTTCTGACCGTGCAGTGTGAAGATCCGGGTAAGTTGTGTCTATATTAATGCATAACAGTGGGATATAGATAGAGTGCCCAACCAGCTCTGCGACAACGAAGATGAGTCGAGTGCAAGATATAAGCTACGCTGTACGATATGCGCAAGGCCATTAGCCGTCTGATTCTATATTTCGATCAAACTCAAACCCAATATTAAACATATCTTTATTAAATTTTAAAAAATACAGTTGCCGATGCATACCGCGCCTCGATGTGTGGACACATTTAACCGTGATTGCATTTATGCAGCAGAGTAAGCTTCAGCCAGTTCAAGGTCGGCCTGATATTAAAACTAGTGCCAGGCTTCGCACTGTTTCTATTTGATCATGACAACGGCGAGGGACTTGGAACATAAGAACAGCGAGCTAGGGTGCCAAGTCACTCACACAACAGAAATGTTTATTGTAAATATTAAACCCCGGCTGGTTCCCGACAGCAATGCACTGGACGGTACAGCGCCACTCAGACAGACAAGAAGTATCTCATTATCTTCACCATGTACCAGTTGTTTGAATACGACTATTATATGGACACGGTCGTGCGTATATTAGTAAAACAATATGTGAAATTATATCGTTTAATACGCATTTGCATATGCAAATCAATCTTCTTATAGAAAATAAGATAACTGTCTTTATTATTTTTTTATTGGTTTAATAAGAGAATACAACAAGGACTTCTGTTTTCAACTGGTCTATTTTATGACTGCAACAAATAAATTTAAACAGGGTAATATTATACTGAAAGTTTTTAAAAAAATCTCTGAATTTTTGTGAGATTTTTTGCCAAATAAATTATTACATGCATTGGTGTCGGTGGTACTGAAAAAAGGCTTCTGAATAATTTTTTCCTGAGTACATACACTTAATAGTTCTTATTTAATAACTATGGTACTAGTAGGTGAAAGGATCAATGCCATTATTTTTGTAGGCATGCAAAAATAAACTGTAGTTCACCCAAAGAATATTTTTTGCAAATATGTTAAATATGTCTCTGTTTCGATTTTTGTTTAATTTTGACTGTGCCTGTTTTCGTAGGTCAGACTTGTCTGTTGTACATTTCATGTGATTTAGGGGAGTCAACAAGGTGGTATGTGCAGGCATTTCATTGCACGCCTACAGTCAGTAAAAACTAACTAGTTGTATTAGCTTAGCTGAGGATTTGTTGATGTGTAATAGAGGTCAAAAGGTCAACAAGATGGCTGCCATCCACAAGAGCGGACTGTTCCTCTGTCAGTGTGATAAATAAATGCCACAGTAGGTATTATTATGTTTTAGTGAAATCACTGTTAATATAATTTCTATGAAAAAGCTAAAATTTTCATGATCTGGGTTTTATTTGACCTAGATTTATTATTGTCGTTGGTTGTCTGATTCTCGGTGGGGATATGTGTCCGTGCTTTTATGTGGGAAGCTGGTTCTCATTTAAATCTTAGGTCACTTTAAGTGTTTTGCGGGGTTGTAAGTAAATGACCTGAAGCCTGCAGACAATAAATAGATTTATAGTGTTTGTTGTTCATTTTAAGGTCATGACATGACACTCATAAGACAACCATGCAAATTTAGTGCTGGAATTTATGTTTATGTAAATTTTATCTTTTATAATGTTTTGACGTTCTTTTTCATAGTGCAACAGGAATAAATAATTTATTAATTGTTTGTAACTGACATTTCCCTGTTCTAGTTAGCCTTCGTTCCTAGGCTGATGTTTTGTTTGCTAAAATGCTTTGAATTAAAAAGCTTTACTTCCGGAATCATCGGTTTGATCATTGATTGGCGGACAATGATGTCATTCATTAGCATTCCTTGTGCTGATTTTCTGATCATTGGTTTACAGCTATATGTTTTTTCAGCCGTTCATGCAACGAAAGTCAGCTTATCCATAGCAACCATCATAAACTGTATCTCTTCAGTCAGGTATATGTTATAGACTGAGATGGTTTTGCAAATCATTCAAAATTATCTGCAATAACTTGGATAAAGTGGAGATCTCTTAACGCCATGGCCAATCATAGGGTCCATAGGGCCTCGACCACTTGTAGCTGACATGCAGTGGTCAAAACTAAGTCAGAATCCTTGTCCGAGGCCTACCGTAAAATCTGTATTAGAAGCCGCATCCCTAATAGAAGTCGCACCCATTATTTTTGAATGATTGAGAATCAAAAATTCACCATTTTTCATATGTGTAGATGCTCTAATAGAAGCCGCATCTCCTCTGTTGCATTCTACCATTTTTATAGAAGCCGCAGCTTGTTATACAGATTTTACAGTAGTACTTTATAGTAGAGCTGAAAAGTTTAAGAGAATGCTGGCCCTGCTTCTTTAGTTATTCAGTGACTGATAAAATGATAAAAGCTAAAACTGTTCAGTATGACAAAAATTTAGGGCAACAAATTTCTCTATGGGTCGATCAACATCAAATTTGGACATTACCTCAGCGTGTATTTTTCCATTTTTATTTTATGTTCATAAAATTTGCTTTTAGGCCAACAACATTCAGAGCAGGACCAACAACTATGCAACATGCAGGCCCCCTAGGTCATCAACCTTTTGACAAAATAGTGTTTTTTGGCTTTGTAACTTGTTTTTCTTTCATAGAGGTTTATTTTCTTCCAGAGTTGGTGAATCGCAAATATTTTTCATTTATGCATGATTTATCAGTGGGTCAAGAGTGGGAGTTAGGTCCTATATTCATGTACATCCACTTCTAAGGTCTCAGCTCAGACAGTCAGTCAGTTTCAAAGTCCCTGTAGACCAAGTCAGTCATTGGTCACATTTGTTGTATAGTATTGATGAGTTTATGAGTGTTCAGATATAAACTGATGTACATGGAACACTAAATATGGGTATACATGCATAGATAATTTTTGGAGGTATACTAGTATATTTTGTGATAGTTGCAGAGGGGCTGGTACATACATGTGTAATGCTTTCTGTATTTCTCTATGTACTATGTTTCAATACATATATGAACTCTGTTGACTCTGTGTATTGCAAAGAACGCTTGCACAGAATATAGAACATGCAAAAAATACTTTCTATCATTTGTACAGATCAACTAAAACAGTGGCCTAGAATTTATTTATTGTTTTACTAAATAACCTCACTTCACTAACACCTAAAATTTATGGAGTTATACACAACTCCTCTAATGCCTAGACACCTCCTCTAATGCCTAATGCAGTTGTACCTCACTTCACTTATGCCTAAAATCTATCCAGTGTTCAGTAACTTCACTAATGTCTAGGTGTGATGCTAGGGGTTATTATTATCATCTGCCATCAGCTTTTGATCATAAATTTACTTGGTTGACTAAACATTCGACCAATCAGAAATGGTGTATCACATGGCAATTTACATAAAACACGGGACACAAAACACATAAAAGTTGCAGGAATGAAACATCGTGTAAATATTACAAATGTTTGCAGCAATGGTGAAACATTTTTTTTTTTTTCGTTTAGGTTTTATGCTCAGTGAAAAGCATGTGGTGCAGCATTTAACCAGTCGCTATGAGTGGACCTGGAGAGGCAAGTGGTGGGTATATGGATCAAGAAAAACCTATCATCGGTAAAAAACAAGTCACTGTTAAAGAGCATGGCAATGTTAATGCCAAGCCAACAGTTAAGAAGAAGAAATCAGTCCAAGCTGACTTGGTATGTGCAAATATATGAACCTTTATACTGTTAAGATTGGATGCAGCTATTAGTCTGTACTGGATTGACGTATGTTGATGGTTTATACTGATTGCAATCGAAAGCATTTTGAAATTCATGCACGATACTATCTGCAACACTATTTGCATAATTACCTGCACTATTATCGGGATTACCAACAATCTGATTATCTCAAACAAAACATTGTTTGATTTAGTACAAAAATCTATTGTCATGCAAATTAGCTATTCTGTTTTTTAGAAAGTACACAGGCGATGTGGTTGCAAACATTTAAGTCTAATGACTAAACTAGGGAAGCCTGGTGCATTGTGGGTATTTTTATCACTGTACAGCCAACGACGATAATGACAAATAGTTTTATTGCATATCAAGTAACTCTACTCTATAATGTATCACTGTCGACACAAACAAACCCGTATTCATAAATTGCCATGGAAGTTAAATCTAACCAGCCAATCATTGAGCTCAGTGCATAATGACATCGTTTGAAAATGTTCCAGTGTTACACATTTGGCCAATAAAATTTATAAATATTTATAAAAAAGTAAGTGAATGGCTTTTTTGTGTTGATTGTATATTACATGTACAATTATATTTTTATTTTGTCCTAATTTGAAGGATGTTGTAAAAGAATTCATCAAATGTAAAGATCAAGGAGAAAGTAGACTAGATCTGAGTAAATCCTGTGTAAGTATTACGGGTACATCTGTATTATATGTGAGAGAATATAAAAACACTCTATTGTGACTTAGAAAAAATATAGAATGATTCAGGTATCCAGGAGTCTGAGGTTCCGAAGATGAGAAGTTGTATCAAATTTGGCAAAGTTTTGTAATCATGTAAATCCTAACAGTGAAAATTGAACGATTTATTGTGTATACCTGTTTTCACAATATGTGAATCTTGTTAAAATAATGTCAATTCTGAGTAAATTAGTCACTGCTAGGGGAGCAGCAATGGAAAATCTGAGTGTATTTGTGATGTCATGATATGGCTGCCTTTTTACTGCCTTTCATTTGTTCAAAATGGCTGCTATCATTATACAAGATATTTATTTTGTTAGGTATATTCTATCGCTGGCTTTTAAACATGACACTGTGAGGGGGGGTGACTCGTCATTTTCAGTTCATGGAAACTACTTTATGGTCATCGTGGAAGTAAAATTACTGCACTCTATTTTCTGTAAACTTTACTTTTTCTGTGATTCAACAGATTTCAGTATTGCCAAGTTCGATCAAGGATGTAAGTATCATGTATTTTATCAATATTTAATTTAACTACTTGCCGTGTGAATCCCTCTATGGTAGAATTAAGACATTGCCTGTCATTATAGAAAAGAATAGAATAGAATTGCTTTATTACATCCTCAAAAAATTTGACATTTCTTCTTTAGTTTTTAGCATAGTAAAGCTTATTTATAATATTATTCATGGAGGCATTCAGCAGGCGAGATTTTAATGCTGCTATCCATCATATCTTCTGAAATATATTATGTGTTTTGATGTCTACAGAAATTAAATATTTCTTTGTGGTCAAATAATACTCCAATTTTTACCTAGCCTGTAACATCAAAGATGGAAGACAAAGGTATATTAAGGGAAAAATTTCTGGTCGGCGTTGGTGTCATCATCGTTAATAATTGTTATTGTGTGCATAATAACTTTACTAATTCTATTCCAAACTTTTTCAAATTTTGGTCACCTTATTCATCAGTATAAAGTCTTCCCTGAGTTTGAACAACAGATGTCCTGTATGAAAATATCATGCAAAAATGGAGAAAATCTGATAAAATATTTTGACTGTTTCTACTTGACTGATCACTGGTGATACACATTCAAAGGTCACTGATCTCAGTGGAAATATGCATTGTTGTATGCGTTCAATGAAGCAAATCAATTACAATATCTTGTAATATTATGGTTGGTAATGTATCTCCCAAATGCCATGAGAATACTAGACTGGGTTTCAAAAGTTTTTGCACAGTCCGATACACATTTGTAAACCTACCAATAAAATCTTTACAGAAAACAAGATGTCAGAAAATCAATATAAGCATTCCTATGAATTGGGTGCCAAACTTTGATCAAGATCTGAAGCTAATAGAAAATCTATTTAGTCCAAAGTTATCAAATCAAAAACAATACCAGTACATAAAAAAGAACAGAATGATAGAGCTTTTATAATACTAATTTAAAAACGCACTTTAAAACAAAGATTGCAGTGTTTGAAGATGTAGATTCTCAGGAAACAACAGTACTGTTGAGATCTCTCTCCACTGGACACCAACTAACTATTTGAGTCGATTTGCATACAAAACAGAGCTTGCATCATGATAGCTATTCATAAAGGGCGTTTTTTTTCTTTTCAAATAATACAGTAGTCACACAATGAATATAATAAGGCAGTTCATATTTGTCTCAGTGAATCATTAATTTTTGACAGACACCTGTATAAAATACTTGGACAAAAGCCAGCTAAGATTTTTTGTTATCTTGCATGTTTTATGAATCTATTCATGTCTAAATGCAGCACTTTTTTTCTGAGATGAGGCATTTGTTTTTATACTAAAATTTCTGAATTATTTTGAATAAAGCTGGAAATTATGTCCCTTAGAATAATTAAACAAATTAGGCACCAATGTTTTTATAAGATATTTACATCTGTCAAGGACATTTGGTAAACTGCTTTCCCACTGTTGTTTCAACCTCAAAACTTGTTTGTATTCAAAATTAATTATGACAATGCATATTCATATTGAAACAAACTATGATAAAGGGAATAATATTATACAGTAAAACCTGTCAAAACCGACCATGACTGGGTGGGCGTAACTTCGTGTAACTACATGTACTGTAAACACGGGACAAATGAAAGACACAAGAGTTTGCCTCCTGTGATTATATTTACATTTATTGTATTGTTTCAATAAAATAATTCACCAAACAGACAAGAATATTGTGGTATGTACATGAAATCAATAAACATTAAAATGTCTGTTCGAACATACCGGGTATCTTAACTGAATGCGTCCATATTGAATGACATCACAACATAAGTTCACTTGAGCTACATGTAATTATCATAATTTATGCAGACAGTCGATTTTGCTGTTAAGTCAATGATCGTTGTCTCGATTCCTGGTTTTCTTTGTCTGCAATAAAATTCTCAACAATCTGTTGCTTCCTCTCTGCGTCATACGTTGCTTCAGTCGGTATACGTTCATCAAAGTGAAAGTATTCATCAATGCTACACTGTGTTTGCGAGTCTGCAACTTGCTAAATAAGGTTTCCAACTTCTTTGTTGTCGGCTGCTGCTTCTTCGTCATCATCAATTTCAATCAGAATGGTTATGAAAAGAAGAAAACACAATGTCTTTCGCTTGTTGAAGAGGTAATGTAGTACGTTTCACTGCAACTGAAAGTGATGACCCCGATCATTTGATTATATCTAGGGTTATTATACTGTCCAGACACCATGCGATGCATCGGCGTGTGGTGTGAAAAACTTAATCAGTTGCCATTGTTTTACTCAGAACGTTTCTTCATGTGTGAGATTTGGTTTTGTTTCTGTGACGTTCATGGTGAATTTAACACAATGCAAACTTTTTAGGTCGGGCAGACCGGATTACTAGACAGTGGATGTTGTGCAACTTGTCGGATGGTCAATGTATTCAGTGTGAATATTGGACTTGGGACCGATCAATGCGTTCGGTGTTCGGAGTAGACAGTGGTCGGATTTCACAGGTTGTTTTAACATAGACATCTATGGAGAAATTTCGGGGCTACATAAATCGGTCGGTTCTGACAGTAAGTCGGTTTATTCAGGGTCGGTTTTGACAGGTTTTACTGTATAACAAAGGGTAAGGTCACCAGAGTTCAACTATGTTTTTTTTTATTTTGCAGTTGACTCAGTTAGTTGAACTCTATCTCTATGGAAACAGACTACAGTATTTACCAAATGAAATTGGTTACCTTAGTAACCTGCAGAAGTTAGCACTGAGTGAGAATTCTTTAACGTCGTTACCTGTGTCACTTGAAAGGTTAAAGGTCATCAAAGTACTTGACTTAAGGCACAACAAGCTGAAAGAGGTGGGTGGGGTCATCTGTATCAATTATGTGTGTTTTATAATCTCTCTCACATGGATATATATATATACCCACATCTAATAGCGGTCTCTTGTGCTCATCCAGTTTTAGGTGTACCGGGTATTCTCAATTTAACGAAGTTCATCAAAAAAAAACATGTAATACTTCTTTGTTGGTTAATTTCAGATTCCTGAAGTTGTTTACAGACTGACGTCACTTACCACTTTATTCCTGAGATTTAATAGAATATCAGATGTAGACGAAGAACTTTCGAATCTTACGGTTAGTAGATATCCCTGCCACCCCTTCACCCCCACTCTAGCATCCAGGTCTTATTTTTGACCCCAATTTCGGCTGAAAACTGACAATGAATCACAGTTTACGTACACAGTATGTATGATGTTCGATAAAATGAGCTCAAAAGATTGAATTGACACCATGCTAACAATCAAGATAGATAAGAACTTTATTTCACTTAAAAGTATAGACATTTTTCAATTAGGTTAAAGGGTGGTGGTCGTCATACTGCACATGTGCATTATTTTTGTTGATAAACATTGATTTTCTCACAATCCAATGCGCTCTTCTAACGGAAATCACAGGTATGAGGTTTGACCTGGGCGTGATTTCACTAATTACCGCCAGTGACTCCTTCGATGCCTTTCAATCAGCCAAAAAATACCAACTTAAAGCTTGGTAACGTCTCAGTTTGTACTCGTTGATCTGCACAACAGCTAAAAGTCACCATCTTTGTTTATATGTGTCCTATATATCTTGCACATGCTTAACGACGAATGTCACCTTTTAAACATGTAATTTAGGTTAATTATATACTCAAAATATATAAAAGAATAAAACCGCGTTTATGTCCTCTTTCTACATGTATTTAGATATGCAATGGTAATTCCTTCATGTTCAGATAGGAGAATATGAAATGCCATATTAATATACAGATAGCAAAGTGAGGCCAAGCAGCTACTAATGACCGATTGCTTTCATTTACAGAATTTAACTATGTTAAGTTTACGAGAGAACAAAATCCGAAAATTACCTCAAGGCATTGGTAACTTAACCCATCTTATTACCTTTGATGTGTCACATAATCACTTGGAACATCTTCCGTCAGGTGAGTTGTACTATCATGAGTACCCTAGTTCCAAGTTATACCCTCTTAGGATTCTTAGTCCCCAGTATTACCTTATTAGGATTCTTAGTTCCTAGTATTACCTTATTAGGATTCTTAGTCCCCAGTATTACCTTATTAGGATTCTTACACAATGTAGTTCCTAGTATTACCGTATTAGGAATCATGCTTCCAAGTAGGATTCTTAGTCTCTAGTATTACCTTATTAGGATTCTTAGTTCCTAGTATTACTGTATTAGGAATCATGCTTCCAAGTATTACCTTATTAGGATTCTTATTTCCTAGTATTACCGTATTAGGAATCATGCTTCCAAGTATTACCTTATTAGGATTCTTATTTCCTATTTATCCTAACTTGTTAGGATTCTTAGTTCCCAGTATTACCGTATTAGGAATCATGCTTCCAAGTATTACCCTATTAGGATTCTTATTTCCTAGTATTACCGTATTAGGAATCAAGTTTTTTGTTTTATTCTGTAGAGATTGGTAATTGTGAGCAGTTATCCTCTTTAGATTTACAACACAATGAATTATTAGATTTACCGGATTCCCTTGGTAACCTTAGGCAACTAAGTCGACTAGGATTAAGGTAACTTGTGGATGATACGTTTTCAAGTTCCTATTTTCTCAGACTAATATTTGATTGGAAACTCATTTTAGTCATTAGTGAGAAAGTTATGTTGGTGAGTGTGGGATCTAAATAGATGATTACTGTAAAATGACTAATTTTCACTGGGTTTAAATTTCACTGATTTGCCATTTCAGGCATATTCAGTGGGTTTTAAATTCACGGTTTTATCATTTAGATAATGTGTTCTATGCTAAATTTCACATATTAACTGGGTTTTAATTTAGCGCATTTTCTAGTCAGCGAAATAAGCCAAATTAAAACCCAGTTAATAATTAACCCCTTTACAGTATCACCAAGTTGTCCTATGGTTCCTTATTTTTTTCAGATATAATCGTCTGCAGGCAATACCTAAATCACTTTGTAATTGTCTAGACATGGAAGAATTTAATGTAGAAAATAACAACATCTCCTCCTTACCTGTAAGTACAGCAATATTCAAGTCATATAGTGTAAACCCATTCAATTTTCATTTCAAGAAATATTCACCATTTCATGGAATTCATAAAGACAGCACTTTATGAAACTCAGACACCTCAGTGTAGGAACACAGAGAAAATCTCAGTGGTACAAAATTTTATTATTTTCATTGATTCGCCAAAGTTATTGAAAAAAGCCAAAAATTGCATTGATGTTCCTAATAAAAAATGTGATTGCATTAAATTATTTTAGTTCTGTATATATTTATTTTCCTGATATATTTTAATTATATTTTACTTTACAGGAAGGACTTTTATCAAGTTTAGTGAATTTAACAAGTCTTTGTTTATCACGGAATAATTTTAACTCGTATCCAATTGGTGGGCCAACACAATTTGCTACTGTTTATGTAAGTTGACATGTGAAGTATTCAGTGTTATTTTTGTATAGTGTGCTGAATGTTGCCATGACTACACCTGGGTAGTGACTTGGTGGGCCTGGATAGTGACTTGGTGCACCTGGGTAGTGAAATGGTACACCTGGGTAGTGACTTGGTGCAACTGGATTGTGACTTGGTGCACCTGGATTGTGAAATGGTGCACCTGGATTGTGAAATGGTGCACCTGGATTGTGAAATGGTACACCTGGATTGTGACTTGGTGCACCTGAATTGTGACTTGGTGCACCTGGATTGTGACTTGGTGCACCTGGATTGTGACTTGGTGCACCTGGATTGTGACTTGGTGCACCTGGATTGTGAAATGGTGCACCTGAATTGTGACTTGGTGCACCTGGATTGACTTGGTGCACCTCGATTGTGAAATGGTGCACCTGAATTGTGACTTGGTGCACCTGGATTGTGACTTGGTGCACCTCGATTGTGACTTGGTGCACCTCGATTGTGACTTGGTGCACCTCGATTGTGACTTGGTGCACCTGGATTGTGACTTGGTGCACCTGAATTGTGACTTGGTGCACCTGGGTTGTGACTTGGTGCACTTGGATTGTGACTTGGTGCACCTGGGTTGTGAAATGGTGCACCTGGATTGTGATTTGGTGCACCTGGGTAGTGAAATGGTGCACCTGGATTGTGATTTGGTGCACCTGGGTAGTGACTTGGTGCACCTGGGTTGTGACTTGGCGCACCTGGGTTGTGACTTGGTGCACCTGGATTGTGAAATGGTGCACCTGGATTGTAAAATGGTGCACCTGGATTGTGACTTGGTGCGCCTGGATTGTGAAATGGTGCACCTGAATTGTGATTTGGTGCACTTGGATTGTAACTTGGTGCACCTCGATTGTGACTTGGTGCACCTCGATTGTGACTTGGTGCACCTCGATTGTGACTTGGTGCACCTGGATTGTGACTTGGTGCACCTGAATTGTGACTTGGTGCACCTGGGTTGTGACTTGGTGCACTTGGATTGTGACTTGGTGCACCTGGGTTGTGAAATGGTGCACCTGGATTGTGATTTGGTGCACCTGGGTAGTGAAATGGTGCACCTGGATTGTGATTTGGTGCACCTGGGTAGTGACTTGGTGCACCTGGGTTGTGACTTGGCGCACCTGGGTTGTGACTTGGTGCACCTGGATTGTGAAATGGTGCACCTGGATTGTAAAATGGTGCACCTGGATTGTGACTTGGTGCGCCTGGATTGTGAAATGGTGCACCTGAATTGTGATTTGGTGCACTTGGATTGTAACTTGGTGCACCTGGATTGTGACTTGGTGCACCTGGATTGTGACTTGGTGCACCTGGAATGTGACTTGGATTGTGACTTGGTGCACTTGGATTGTGAAATGGTGCACCTGGATTGTGAAATGGTGCACCTGGATTGTGACTTGGTGAACCTGGATTGTGACTTGGTGCACCTGGATTGTGAAATGGTGCACTTGGATTGTGAAATTGTGCACCTGGATTGTGAAATGGTGCACCTGGATTGTGACTTGGTGCACCTGGGTAGTGACTTGGTGCACCTGGATTGTGACTTGGTGCACCTGAATTGTGACTTGGTGCACCTGAATTGTGACTTGGTGCACCTGGATTGTGACTTGGTGCACCTGGATTGTGAAATGGTGCACCTGGATTGTGAAATGGTGCACCTGGATTGTGACTTGGTGCACCTGAATTGTGACTTGGTGCACCTGGATTGTGACTTGGTGCACCTGGATTGTGACTTGGTGCACCTGCATTGTGACTTGGTGCACCTGGATTGTGAAATGGTGCACCTGAATTGTGACTTGGTGCACCTGGATTGTGACTTGGTGCACCTGGATTGTGAAATGGTGCACCTGAATTGTGACTTGGTGCACCTGGATTGTGACTTGGTGCACCTCGATTGTGACTTGGTGCACCTCGATTGTGACTTGGTGCACCTGGATTGTGACTTGGTGCACCTGAATTGTGACTTGGTGCACCTGAATTGTGACTTGGTGCACCTGGGTTGTGACTTGGTGCACTTGGGTTGTGACTTGGTGCACCTGGCTTGTGAAATGGTGCACCTGGATTGTGATTTGGTGCACCTGGGCAGTGAAATGGTGCACCTGGATTGTGATTTGGTGCACCTGGGTAGTGACTTGGTGCACCTGGGTTGTGACTTGGCGCACCTGGGTTGTGACTTCGCGCACCTGGGTTGTGACTTGATGCACCTGGATTGTGAAATGGTGCACCTGGATTGTAAAATGGTGCACCTGGATTGTGACTTGGTGCGCCTGGATTGTGAAATGGTGCACCTGAATTGTGATTTGGTGCACTTGGATTGTAACTTGGTGCACCTGGATTGTGACTTGGTGCACCTGGATTGTGACTTGGTGCACCTGGAATGTGACTTGGATTGTGACTTGGTGCACCTGGATTGTGAAATGGTGCACCTGGATTGTGAAATGGTGCACCTGGATTGTGAAATGGTGCACCTGAATTGTGACTTGGTGCACCTGGATTGTAACTTGGTGCACCTGGATTGTGACTTGGTGCACCTGGATTGTGACTTGGTGCAGTTGAACTCTGACTTGTTGCACCTGGGTCGTGACTTGGATTGTGACTTGGTGCACCTGGGTTGTGACTTGGATTGTGACTTGGTGCACCTGGATTGTGACTTGGTGCAACTGGATTGTGACTTGGATCGTGACTTTGTGCAACTGGATTGTGACTTGGATCGTGACTTGGTGCACCTGCATTATGACTGGATGTTATTCATTCATTCTTGCTATTCAATTATTAACTGAAACATTGAAATTTCTAATTAAATTTCTGTCATAATAATTCTGTTGTGATTTTATTTTATTTTAGTCAATAAATATGGAACACAACCATATTACCAAGATTCCGTTTGGTATTTTTACTCGTGCAAAGTATTTGACAAAGTTAAACATGAAGGAGAACCAATTAACAGCTTTACCGTTAGGTAAGTCAACATTCCTAATCCTTTGAGGGCCATATAATTTCATTCACAAATTTGTGTTTCTAGAGTTTGTTTTTATTAATTTGTGTTTCTAGAGTTTGTTTCTGTTAATTTTCTACCAGATGGATGTAATTTACTATTGGCTTCAGGTCAAAAAATTTTGGAAAAATATGAAAAAAAAAAATATTATGCAGGTTTATTTTTTTGAAAGTTGATTAATAAAGCTTTATCTTTCTTTAGCTAAGTCATTCAATATAACTTTATTCATTGTATGTATTTCCTAACATCTGTCCTCCAATTGCACAAGTACAAATATTGGGGAAATTTAACCCATCTTATTACCTTTGATGTGTCACATAATCACTTGGAACATCTTCCGTCAGGTTACTTTCATTTTATTTTTTATAGCAATGACTCAAATTGATTTTGCTCTAAAACTTGTCCTGGAGATCTGTTTGTTGACTATTATAAATATTTGACTTTATTCTATGTTCTTGTGTAGATGTCGGTAGTTGGATGTCAATGGTTGAATTGAATCTGGGTACAAACCAACTCAGTAAATTACCTGAAGACATACAGGCGCTGACATCACTGGAAGTGTTAATACTTAGTAATAATCTACTCAAGGTGAGTTTTCTAACTGATCTTGTTACCATAGTTACCTGACATCTAAATCAAATTCTTCTATAATAAACTTGTTATATTAAATGTATGTCATCTCTGTATACATTATTCATATTTGTTCAATAGTTGTTCTTCGATAATGCAATATCCTCTCTCACAAAACGTAAGATTATTCACTGCATTTCTTGCATACTCCTAGATAACCAGTTGAAAATCAGCCTCATCATGTCTGTTTCTTTTTTTGTAGAAACTGCCACGTGGCATTGGTAACTTGCAGAAAATGAGGGTGTTGGATCTGGAAGAGAATAAATTGGAATCTTTACCTTCAGAAATTGGTAAATGATAATTTTTTTGTCATGATATATTTTATTTGGGCTTACAATTAGGATGTGGGTCTGTCCATGCATCCGCCTGTGCATCTGATCTGTTATTTCTTTAATATATCTGGGTCTAGTAATTGTTTTTAATGATTTACATCAAAAAAATCTATAATAATGGCATTACTTGTATATTTTTTTACAGCGTATTTATGTTCATTACAAAGACTTGTTTTGCAGTCTAACCAATTGTCAACACTACCACGAAACATAGGGTGAGTACTTTGTTTAAATATACTTTTTTTGAGGTCACAACTGAAACCGTTGAAAAGATTATCTGTCAATTTCTAGTCACTGAATTTATATGACAAAGACATTAAATTGTATAATAACTGATTTCTCTGGACAGACACCTTGGAACTTTACAGTATCTAAGCGTAGGTGAGAATAATTTGACGTCACTACCAGAAGAGATCGGAACGCTAGAAAACCTGGAACAGTTGTATCTGAACGATAATCCTAATCTGCATAATTTACCGTTTGAATTAGCGCTCTGTTCATCACTCCAGATCATGAGTATTGAAAACTGCCCATTGAGTCAGTTACCTCAAGAGGTTGTTGCAGGTGGACCGTCATTGGTTATTCAGGTTGGTGATATTGACTCTAGTGATATTGACCTTGGTGATATTGACTCTAGTGATATTGACCTTGGTGATATTGACCTTGGTGATATTGACTCTAGTGATATTGACCTTGGTGATATTGACCTTGGTGATATTGACTCCAGTGATATTGACTCTAGTGATATTGACCTTGGTGATATTGACTCTAGTGATATTGACCTTGGTGATATTGACCCTGATGGTATTATCTTTATTTTGGTAATTACTGTATTAGAAGCCGCAACACTAATAGAAGCTGCACATATTTTTTAGAACAATTGAGAACCAAAAATTAACCATTTCTCATATGTGTAGATGCTATAATCGGAAGTTGCACCCTCTTTGTTGCATTGTACCGCTTTAATAGAAGCTGTGGCTTCTAATACAAATTTTACATAAACAAAAATCCAACCTGCACATAAAGATCATCTGTCTATATACACCTATATGTTTGATTGTATAACCTATTTATTATTTTCACATGTAAGCAATTTATATAAGTATACCCTGGTGTTTATTTCATTGCAGTATCTCAAGATGCATGGTCCGTACAGATCAATGGTGAATCTTTAATTTTGTTGAACTGTGGGATGGTGGATCAAATAGGACCTTCCTGGCTCCACGGACCAACCATGAGTTGGCGTGGAGAGCGAGAGTGAGAGAGATAGAGAGAGAGCAAGAGATAGCAGCATTGGATGGAAGGCATCTACCAATATACTTTATCACAATCACTGAGAGATAGTTAGTATTTGCTGATTACAGAGAGCCATGCATAGCCAGAGAAACCTGTGTTTGTTATAGATACAAATTACAGTAACTGATAATGATTTAATTTGTAATGTGTGCTGTCTAGTGTGCCAATATTTGGCTTTAATTAAGTGGCATTGTAGAAGATCAACATGTACAAGGAAATCATTTGAAAGCCAGCTTTGTCTGTGCAGCCCCTTTGCATTGCAAGTGGTTGGTTTCCTATATGTAACCAATGTGTTACATGTTATTTTGCTAGCAGAATGTACAAGTACTAATGCAACTTATTAAAGCTAGGAGTTGTCTACCAGCTCATATTTTCTTTGTATATTAATCACCTTATTTGCATAATCCATTTTTACTGTGTATATTATGGAAATTATGAAAAAAGAAATTGTCATAAGTAGGCATCTGACTTAATTTGCATGTTTATTAGTTTATTTGCATAATTGATTATTTATATTTGACTCCCATGAATGATTGAATGCTGATCTTGAAGTCTATTTCATTATTTACTAATACCGGTATATGCAGAAAATAACTACACTCGATGAGTAAAAGGAAAGTATAAATTAATGGAAAAGATCTTTGAACAAATCCTGATTTGAACAGTCAGAAACATCTGCATAATTAATGAGAACATTTGCATGAATAGTGTGTCTTCGCATTTTCTGTGTGTGAAGGCAGTTTTTAAAATGACAGATCACTGCTGTATTATATGAATAACAAACAGAAGATAATGGCCCAATGCCTTCATTATAGCGCTATTTCCATGTCTCTAACTTCAATAGTGCTCGAGATATTATATATATGCATATTTAATGAGTTCTAAATTCATATAAGCTAAAAACCAAAGTACAAGATGGCAGCTGTCTGTGCCCAGTTATACAAAATAACCCTGAATGCCAAATAGGTCTCCTTAAGTAGACAGGGAAATTTGAGACTACATTATAATATAGCTAGGGGCATATCAAGAGGCAATATACTTAAGGTAGTTAGGAACCCCATTGTTTTTATAAAGATTTCCCGACAATACAAATAATAAAATATCCAAATTACTTGTGTTATTATTCAGTTTAATTGTATTTGTTTAATACCTTGAGAACTTCTCTAGCAACTTCAAGATTAAAGTCTTTCTCAATTCTTGCAGCGGATTGGTTATTAGGGATGTAGTAATGTACTAAAGTAGGATTCTCTCATTACTGAATCATGGTCCCACATGTAGTTGCATATCCTAGCGCTGTAATGCCATCTACAGGACCATGAATGTTTCACCCTGCGGTTCCACATGTAATTACTGAATGTGCCCCCCCCCAGCCCTTAAGTTCAATAGGTCAGCCTACTGTATTGGTCTTATGACGCAGGATATATGTTAATGATGAATAAGTATCTCTCGTCAAATATCAATATTATTAAACTCTATAATTTATATATTACTTACAGAACAGTTATTAAAATGTCAAATTGATTTTTCTTTATGTTTTTGTAGAAAATGTGCTGTGGATATATCAGTTTTGCTAGTAAACATTGTAACATGTGCTACAGGGTAACATCATCTGCAGCACTGTACCATCAACTGTTAAGATCTGCTACATTGTACCATTATCTACTAGACTTGTTAGCACTATTAGCTGGTTAAATAATGCCATATGCCATTAAACTAGCAGTTAGTATACAACCATCTGTTCAAACTAGCGGTTAATATGACTTGTGCTATTTCAACTAACAGTATGCCATAAACTAATTAACAAGTGGCTAATATGCCATACTTTTCTTAAACTATCAGTTGATATGCATTAAGATGCTTAAACTAGCAGTCACTATGACATAAGCTGTTTTAACTAGCAGTTATTATGTCATAAGCTGTCCAAACTAGCAGTTAGTATGTCATAAGCTGTCCAAACTAGCAGTTAGTATGTCATAAGCTGTCCAAACTAGCAGTTAGTATGTCATAAGCTGCCCAAACTAGCAGTTAGTATGTCATAAGCTGCCCAAACTAGCAGTTAGTATGTCTATAAGCTGCTTGTACTACTAGTTGTTGATATGTCATAATCTGAATGAACTATCATTTAGTATGCTATAACATGCTTTAGCTATCACTTTCTAGTAAGCTGCTTGAGCTGCTCCAAATTTGTCTTTCTTTGGAGAGGTTTTGTCTTGAGCTTTGTGATTGGTCAAAAATTTGTTTATATTCTTCTTGCAGCCAATAATATTGTTCCTTTTTAAGCTGAGATTTGCATTGAATAAATTATTGCTTGTTGTTAAATGTATAATTACCAATCTATTCTTTAGTCTGGTGCATCTTGTGAATTCACAGAAACAAAATCTGTAACCCCCATTCAGTTTAAATTCAGGTATTTCTCAAGTCCATGGTGTGGTTTTAAATGGCTTGAAGGCTATCTTACAGTTACATATTATACCAATACAATATTGGCTTGAGGCTTCTATGGTGTGATTCAAGCATTGGTTTTTCACTTCTTATTGATAGCCCTATTTGGTTTTAATATGCAATGTATGCATAAATTAAAAAAATGTGTTTTTTTTTGTCCAAAGAAAGTGCATGACATCACTGAATATATAATATTGATTACAAAGGTCAACGTCCTACTTAGTACTTAATTAAAAATAGTAACTTCAAATTATAAACAAAATGCAACTGGGTTGACAAAAAAAAGTAATTTTGTTGCAAGAGATTTCAGCTTCACTAAAGATGGTTTATTTCTATTTGTCATAATCCACAGATGTTGATTTCTTGTACAACAATGTTTAGGTAACTTTAGAAGCCTGGTCAGTGTGTTTCAATTTAAATAAAAAAGTAATTTACAATTATTGCCTAGTGCATCTAATAATATTCTAGTATATGCATGTCTGTTTGTTGTAACTGTCCATTTCACTGTTAATTGTGAATATTTATGAACAAATAAACCTTAACATAAGCCCTGTTTGATGTATGCAATACACACGAAGCATTGGTCATGACTGGATGGAAAAGAGATGGTGTATGTATGTATGTATGTATGTATGTGTGTGTGTGTATGAGCTTTAACGTCAATGTCATGCATACCTCGTGCTTTTCATACTGTTATGTATTTTTTTTTTTTACTCGTGAACATTTGTTCTTAATGTCATGTCAAAATTAACTTCACATCAAATAAAATGAATTTTACAAGAAAATCTGCTTCTCAGAACTTATTTATCATGTGTAAGTATAAGCGTTTTGTTGTTGATCAATTTGCCCCAAGAAATTACATTTCGTGACATTTCACCCTCTTCGCACGATTCCATTTCTCTGTGTGCAGTTTGCCTGCAATGGAATATGCCACCAGAGATGGTGCTTTTCCCATTATACCTTGCATCTTCTCTCACCAGATAGATCACTTGATTTATTATTTGTTATCTGTAAGAGGTATTATTACCCATTTGTTGGTTTTCGCTTCTTTACTCTGATTTTTTTTTTTTTTTATAAGAGAATGAGTAAGTAGGATACTATAACACTTCATATTGTAGAGGGCGGCAGCACTTCCTGTTTGGCTCGTTAAAATATTAAGCCTTAATTTGGGAATTAGATCAATTGATGGTCATGTAACTAACTAGATAGTTGGTAACTTAACACCAGAAACAAAAGTTAGATTTTTCAACTAAAAATCCACACAAAATGGGAAACTAGGAATATTGAGACGATATTTTATTGAGAACAGTTCTTGCTACTTTGATTTTCATTAAGTTGCAAAATTGAATTCTGCTAAACTGTGAACATCCTGCCTAGCAGTTTGCAGATGTGTGCCACTGACACACAAAGATTTGATGTGATGTAATTAGCTGTACTAATTCCCTGTCGTGTCATCTTGAAAAAGACATTTTAGTATAGTTATCTACCAATGTTGGTTTTGGCTTTAATTGTTTATGTATGTACTGGTATATAATTGGAGCTGATACCTACATAATATTTTAATAGTTGGGGAATCTACAAGAAACGTGAATGTATACAAATAAAGGAAATCAGAGGACACGTGATTTTTTGTGGGGCCTCAAGTCCCTAATACACTTGCATGCAGTTTTATTATTTTGTCCGTAATGATAATGAAATGAGGTATAATGGGTTGGTGAGCAGATCTCACCCCCCACCCACCCATGAAAAATTTTGTGCTGCCTTCTGTACTAAGAATATTTTTACCTTTCCTGTATCATTAGATAAAGGTTTATGAAGGAGAAATGTTTTTCTCCTCATTGTTCTTTTTTTGTTCTAAACCTTTGTCTCTGTGGTGGTTGCGATAAATTTTAGTGTACCGTATGTGAAAATTTGCTACAATAAAAAAAAAATAGACTAAGGACAAGAAGTTTGAACTGCTAATTATGAAAAAAGATGCAAGTTCTATACAAGATATGTTACTTAGATAGCATAGTAACCAAAGTAACCAGATCTGTTGTTATATATATTGGTATGTTCTATGTAGACTATTAAATTTGTTCTGCAAAATAATAGCTTATATATTTTTGTTGCCAAAAGTTTGCCTTCATTTAATGCTATACTATTTGGAAACTTTTATGCAGACCATATCCTTCACATCAAAAGTAGGAGTAAAACAAGGTTGTAACCTGAGTCCTACACTATTCAACCTGTTTATTAACGACATTCCAAGAATCTTCGACTCACTGACATGTTACCCTCCTACTTTAAAAGATAGTAAAATTAGCAGTCTTCTATTTGCCGATGATATAGTGATTTTATCAGAAAATAAGACCGGCTTACAAAATTGTTTAGATAACTTATCCACCTACACAAAACAATGGAGACTATCAGTCAACACAGAAAAAACTAAAATTATGGTTTTCAACAAATCAAATAGACTATTAGAAGATAACATATTTTTCTATGAAAGCAAAGAAATTGATATTGTTAAAAAAATCAATTATCTTGGTATCACTGTAAGCCCAAATGGGAAATTCAAAGAAGCCATAAAAACTTAAAACGTAAAGGTCAAAAGGCCATGTTCTCTTTAATAGGGAAACTAGGACAAAATTCTAATATAAATATAAAAACATTGATGTCCCTATTCCATAGGCTTGTAAGACCTATTCTGACATATGGCAGTGATATATGGGGCCA